GCCGCGAGGGGCGGCGACGGGCCGCGAAGGGCGGCGACGGGGCCGCTAGGGGTGGCGCGAGGGGCCGTGAGAGGGGCCTCTAGGAGGGCGCGACGGGCCGCTAAGGGCAGGGGACGCGACGAGAGGGCGGCCCACGGGGCGCGCCTCGGGCAGGGGCGACTCGCGCTCCGGTCAGATTAAAAAATTTCGATTTTCAGTGGTGGGCCCTAGGAAGCGTTCCCATAGGGAACCTGCTCTATACCATGTGAAGAAATGAGGAATGAATGCACTGGCAAACAGGTGAGTACAAGTAGGAAAACCTTAAAGTGTTGTACCCCATATTGTCTACCCCACTACAGCCTACACAGACTATAGCATATAAGTTTGACAGGTCCTAGAAGAGATCGTAGGCTCTGATACCAAGTGTTACGAGTGCAATTGAGTGAGCGAGCGAGAATTGCACCATCGAAGCAAGAGTACCAGGCCCTCAGATATCAGCGTAAAACACGCTGATTACGCTAATTTTGTAGCTCTGATTTCCGTTTTCCCTGAAAAATCAGTATATGCCTCATTTTTGCACTGTAATTTCAGTATTTGCAATTTTGCCACACTGACCATTTTGCGTGTTTCAGAACAATTAACACTGACGAATCAGTATACTTCAGCGAGTCACACTGAAACGGACTTGACCGCCCGGGGGGGGGGGGGGGGGCGACGCGTTTACAGACTGCCCCACCCCACCCACACACTTGGAATCTTTTCACATGCGCTGTACTTACAGCATGTGCGTGCCGAACCGTTTTGCCTCGCTGGAAGCCATCACACCAGAATACGATGAACCTAGTTCAACAACTGTCCAATTAGAACACAGACAGCACACCACTGCTGGCACGGTCCACACCAACACGCCATAAAATATGGCAGTGGGGTGGGTGGGGGTGTTGTCATCTTGCCTGGAAAGACGGAAACCCAGGACCACGATCCCTCGCCATGGCGGCTCGGGAGAGGGGGTACCCCCATCTGCTCCCTCATTCTGTTCCTGCACTCGTCGTGAACCCCTGCAGGAAGTGACGTTCGAGCTCAACCTGGCAGTGGCTTCCCTCTCAAGCTCGGCACGCTCAGCACAGCTGAGCAGCCATGGCGGATCCAACGCCTGCAGGTGACAACCCTGAATCCGTCCCAGCCACGAAGCCAGCCGCCCTTACTGGCCTAGACTTCTTACGACGAGCTTCAGCTGCTCCCGTGTTAGTCTCGCCATCAGCTCCTACCGTTGTTTTCCCTTCCTCGGGCCCCGAGGCACCTACCATCTGGACGCAGGGCGAGTGTTCGACGCATGCTGGCGCTGCCGCATTACCTCGTGTCGCTGCCGCATCAACTCCTGCCGCTGCCGCATCAACTCCTGACGCTGCCGCATCAACTCCTGACGCTGCCGCATCAACTCCTGACGCTGCCGCATCAACTTCTGACGCTGCCGCATCAACTCCTGCCGCTCCCGAACCCACACGGAACCGTCATCCTGTCGCTGCCGGAACTACTCGCGTCGGACCCCGTCTCAAAAGGGGTATCAAAGTGACGTACCGCCAAACAAAGATCAACTGGGGTGCCAGTCAAGCTACGCCAACGTCTGGTGTGGGGAACTCCTCCCCGGAGGCCCGACAGCGTAAACAGAAGGGGAAAGCGGTTGAGGTTACCTCCGAAACAGAACTGCCCGACATAGCCGAGGAGAAATACCAGGATGCCTTATTTATGTTCAACAAACAGTGGTCTGACGACTATCCGTGGCTTGTTCTGTGTCAGACGAGTGCAGGATTCCCGTCAATCAAGTGCTCGGTCTGCATTGCGCACGGCGGTGTGGGCACGAACTTCGGCGCCAAAGGAGAAGGGGCGACCGATGTGCAGACCCAGGCAATGCGAAAGCATCAACGCACAAGGAAGCACCGCCGCGCTCTGCGCAGACAGAGGACAGCCGAGGCGGCGCTCAAAGCTAACCGCCGGATTGACGACAACAAGAAGGTGAAAGACGTCGAGAAGGAGCGCCTGCTCGCGCTATTTGAGACGGCACTCTTCATCGCTAAGTCCGACGCCCCGATCGAGATGTACGTCGACCTCGTCCAACATCTAGCGCAGCGTGGCACACCGGGCTTCCCAAAGAGCAGTTATGGTGCCTACTATACGACGTAAGTGACACTGCTCTAGTACATATCGTCGGGGGATGTGATATACGTGAAGCTATCACTAACCACACGCGTTGATGCCCGTGCAGGTACGGATTTGAAGAGATCACCGCTGCAATAGCAACATACCTTCGTGCGCGCCAGAGAGAATTCATTGATTCGAGTCCATTCATTGGTCTGAGTTGCGACGAGAGTACGGACCGCGTCAAAGGGAAGCACATGATTGTGTTTGTAACCTTTCTGCGTGAGCATGCCGTCACCACAGAGTTTCTGACTAACCTCTCCATCGAGAAGTGTGATGCAGCATCTCTTTATGCTAAGATCACGGGATTCCTTGACAGTATTAGCCTACCGCTGGAGAAGGTGGCGGGTATCAGCACCGATGGGGCACCTGTGATGATAGGCAACGACACGGGCCTCGTTGGGCGTCTTCGACTGGAGATCCCGCACGTGGTGGCTTCTCACTGCATCGCACACAGGTAAACTGTTGCTGTGGTGGTGTTGTTGCGGTACGAGATGTCCAACGTGGTATGTCGCGATGCGAATTCTAACACCCCCACCCGTGCATTTCTACCCGTGGTAGGGAAGCGCTTGCTGCAAAGGAGGCGGCTAAGGCACTACCCGAGCTTGGCATAATCGATGCGGTTATCCGCGCAGTGGCGGAAGATCTCGGCAGATCCAGCAACTCCAACCGCAAGTTCAAGGAGCTGCAGGAAGTGTTCACGCATACCAACCTCGAGGTCCAAGGGATCCACAGCGTCCGCTGGTTGAGTCGCGGCGATGCAATCGCACGATTCGTACGCGTTCTGCCTGTCAGACTAATATATAATTCTATATATTGTTCTATAACTGCCTGTAGTGTAGAATACTGTAGTCATATAACTTTCTAGTTGGTGGTGCACCTTGCATGCTCTGTTTGCTATATGTACTCTTGTGCTATAGTGAACATTCATTCCCCCCTCAACTTCCTCGACACTTCTCCTCACCCTCGATCTCGATCACTAAGCTACTAAACCTATGGCTCCTAAGCCTACTCATGCTTAGTATCTTAACATGGAATCAGAGCGACTACGCTCTTGGCCTGTGGGCCCCACGTGCTTCCGCTGCTTTCCTGTCTGTCGCGCGCCCCGTGGCGCGCGACACCTTTTTCTTCCCGCCACGCGCTCGGGGCGCGTGGCGGTTTTCCGCCCGACGTGCGCCCCGGGCGAGCGGCGTCTTCCTGCCCCGTCGCCGCCCTTCTCGGCCCCTCACGGCCTCTTCGCGGCCCCGTCGCTGCTCCTCTCACGGCCCCTCGCGCCACCCTTAGCGGCCCCGTCGCCACACTTCGCGGCCCTGTCGCCGCCCCTATCGGCCCTGTCGCCACTCCTAGCGGCCCCGTCGCCGCCCTTCTCGGCCCCTCGCGGCCCCTTCGCGGCCCTGTCGCCGCCCCTTCTCGGCCCCGTCGCCGCCCTTAGCGGCCCCGTTGCCGCCCCTAGCGGCCCCATCGCCGCCCTTAGCGGCCCCGTTGCCGCCCCTAGCGGCCCCGTCGCCGCCCTTAGCGGCCCCGTTGCCGCCCCTAGCGGCCCCGTCGCCGCCCTTCTCGGCCCAGTCGCCGCCCCTCGCGGCTCCGTTGCCGACCCTAGTGGCCCCGTCACCTGCTCGTCGCGGCCCCCCCCTCCCCCCTGGCCGCCGCCTCTGCCTCCCCTGTGCCCGCGCCTGCTTTGCAACAGCGCGCGGGCCTGCCTTGCAACTGCAGCCGCCCCTGGAGCAGCCGCCACTGCAGCAGCCGCCCCTGGAGCAGCCGCCCCTGCAGCAGCCGCCCCTGGCCTCTGGAGCAGCTGCCACTGCAGCAGCCGCCCTTGCAGCAGCCGCCCCTGCAGCAGCCGCCCCTGGCCTCTGGAGCAGCCGCCACTGCAGCAGCCGCCCCTGGCCCCTGGAGCAGCCGCACCTGCAGCCGCCCCTGGCCCCTGGAGCAGCCGCCCCTGCAGCAGCCGCCCCTGGCCACTGGAGCAGCCGCCACTGCAGGAACCGCCCCTGGCCCCTGGAGCAGCCGCCCCTGGAGCAGCCGCCCCTGGAGCAGCCGCCACTGCAGCAGCCGTGGGGGGGTGGGTATGGGGGTGGCGGGTGTGGGGGTGATGGGTATGGGGGTGGCGGGTGTGGGGGTGATGAGTGTGGGACAGGTGGGGGAGGTTGAGTGGAGGTGGCCGCCGTGAAGCCAGCAGCTCCAGTCGCCCGTGAGACCGTTGCGCCAGTCGCCCGTGAGCCCGTAGCTCCAGTCGCCAGTGAGCCCGTTGCTCTAGTAGCCCGTGGGTCAGTTGCTCCTGCCGCTCGTCTAGCCGCGGAGCCAGTTACTCCAGTTGCCCGTGTGCCAGTTGCTCCAGTTGCTAGTGTGCCTGTTGCTCCAGTTGCCCGTGTGCCAGTTGCTCCAGTTGCGCCGTGTGTCTGCCGCTTCCGCCGTCGCCTCCCATCTCCTCTCCTGTCACAGTCCCTCCTCCTCCTCACTTCCCCTCTCCTTCTCCTGCGCTTCGTGTACCCCTTCAGGGGGCGTTGACTGCACATTCCCTACAGGCACTTATGGGGGCGTGTCAGACTAATATATAATTCTATATATTGTTCTATAACTGCCTGTAGTGTAGAATACTGTAGTCATATAACTTTCTAGTTGGTGGTGCACCTTGCATGCTCTGTTTGCTATATGTACTCTTGTGCTATAGTGAACATTCATTCCCCCCTCAACTTCCTCGACACTTCTCCTCACCCTCGATCTCGATCACTAAGCTACTAAACCTATGGCTCCTAAGCCTACTCATGCTTAGTATCTTAACACTGCCTGCTGTCATCGTTATGCTCGAGGAGTCGGACAAGACGATGTACCACTTAGTAACGTCGTTCAAGTTTCATTACTTCCTGTTCTTCTTGGCAGATGTGCACACGGCACTCAACGCGCTCAACCTGCTATTCCAGAAGCGACAGGTGAGTTGTTGAGTTCCGTTTTGCAGTTCTCTTCTTCTCCCAGGTACTTATCTTTTGTTTCGGTGTACCAATTCTCCCCCCACCAACAGGTCGACCTCACTGCAGTGCACTCCCAGGTGAGGCGGACCATCATCTACATGGAGCAGAGGTACCTGAACTGTGGCCAGCAGTTTGGCGGTGGGACCAGCGAGCTGCTGTCTGCTTTCCTCGCGCGGCACGCCTCGCCCGACTGCCGTGAAGTGACTGTGGAAGGGGTGGACAAGGAGGGTCAGCCCCGTGTACACAAGTTCCAGCTGCACGAGGAGGCAGTCAAGGGATACACCACCAGCAGCGGGGACATGCAAGGCTGCTACACCTGCTGCCGCTCATTCGCCCGCGAGCTGGTGTACAACCTCGAGCTGCGCTTGGGAGACCTGACGCGCTTGAACGGGGCGAAGCTCTTCATGCCCCGCTCGTGGCCGAGGGGCGTCGAGGCAAGAGACGCAGCGTGCAAGGAGCACCTGCACGGCCTCGTCCATCTGTTTCAGGACAAGAACCGGGACACGATCTTGCCTGGTGAGCGAGAAATAGATCCCCACTGACCTGCGTGTATGCATTGCCGTTTCCATGGTTGCGTTATTCCCATGTTGTGCGCTTGAATTTCTACCCTGGTTGTGCTCAACCCGTTTCGCAGGTGTCCAGAAGCGTGCGGCACGAGCGGAGCTGCGCACGTTCCTGCCGGTGCTCTCCACTGCCCCCAAGGAAGAGCAGCCCTTTCACGCAGGTTTGAAGGCCATCTTGCAGACCAACAACTGGCAGACCAGCTACCCCAACTTAGTCCGTCTGTGGGCTGCGGTCGTTGTTCTGCCTCTTAGCACAGTCGAGTGCGAGCGCGGGTTTTCCCGCCAGAATGTGATCAAGTCGTGGCGCCGGACGAGTCTCTGCAACGCCAAGCTGGGAGATTTGCTGGCAATGAGTCTGCTCGACTACGACATGGAGTGGGATAAGGTGCTGGACATCTGGCGGAGCACCAGGAAAAGGCGCCCCAGCAAGCGCAAGGAGCAAGCTGCGCCAGAGAAGGAGCGGGCCAAGGCCAAGTTTGTTAAGGGGAGTGGCCACCGGGTGGTGGAGGAGGAGGACCTAGACGAGGGCATGTGTGGTTCTGCAGGCGATGGCAGTGAGAGTGATGACGATGCCAGTAGCAGTGGTGATGATGCGAGCGTTTCTTCTGATGAAGACATGACATGAGCTAGTTTGTTAGTGGTAGATTCAGCCAGCATGCGGTATTGGTGCTGCTGTTTGTCACAATGGTAACTTTGGACGCATCCATGCACTGTTGCATCAGCTCTGCTTTTTTGGTTTTTTTACACTGCAGGTTCAGTTTAGGAAAAAAAATTACACTGACAGTATCAGTATAAAGAAAACCACCAACGCTGATTTGGACACCTGGTTGGCAGGGGCACGCTGATCCATCAGCATACCTTCAAACCAATCTGAGGGCCTGAAAAGTACAATGAGCGAAGGCATGAGCGAAGAATGTATAGCGAAACTACAGTGGTAACGGTAATGGACTGTGGTTGTCGCGCGACGGGCCTGGGACTGAGGTTTGGGGAAATGTCGAAGCGGAGGCCCGGAGCGCGGGTTACCCGCCGAGCCGTGAGGTCGGGGTGCGACGTGCGAAAGTGGCGGGAGGATTGTCGATGCGAGGGTTTGCGAGTGGTAACGGTGCTGACTGTGGTGCTACAGTGGTGTACGCGCTGAGCGTGGACGCGAAGTAAGGAAAAGGAATTTTCCTTACAGAAATGAAACATTGCGTGGATACTAGACTCTGGTTTATATCGGCAAATTTTTCCTTAGTACCCGTGAGTATTGCTGATGTACAGAAATGTACGCGTTTACACACAAACGGGAACCTAGATTGCACGCCACAGAAGAGCACTGGTTCTGCCGAAGTCGGTTGATGTACGCCAGTAGGTGAAAAAATCCACAGGTGGTCTTCGCTTCACATCAGATTCCTCTCCCCGCCGTCGCCTGCTAGTGAGCCAACTATTAATCAGTGTCAGCGCCACCCGCGAGGATCCGAGTGCCTTTGATTGAGCTGCGATTGTGCGCGCGTAGCTCAACGACTCCAGCCGTTCCATAAGCCGCGTTGTCCTAAGGCGTCTGTCGCATGTGATGTGCGGGATCGAGCACTACCGGGGACGACGCCAGCGATGACCAGGTGAATCGCGGCGCGCTCAAGGGGCGGCGGAGCCCAGCAGCCGCGTGCCCTCCCGCGCTGCGGCGCCTCGATTCTCCTCGCCGCGCGACCAGCTTCACCCTGTGGCGGCGCTGCCGCTGAGCTGGACGTCCTTGTTGGAGGAGTGAGCATGGGCGTGCGACTCTCCGGTCAGCCTTGTTTCAACGCGCCTTTAGTTCCGCTGCTGTTGCGCCTCCTGCTGCTGCACCTGCTATCGCTCCACGCAATACAAGCGAGAAGCACGCAGCGACAAGCGGGCTCGGTAGTGACGTCAGCGCAGTCCAGTGACGCGACGCAGTCCCACGAGGCGGAGCACGCGGAGGCCATCGAGCCGTCTGGGCGGTTAGAGCGATTAGTGCGGGCAGAGGGATTAGAGGGGTCGGGCCGCTGGGAGGAAACGGTACAGGGTCGCTCGCAAGGAGTGGGGCACGGTGGTGGGCGCGGGTGGTTGATTCGGGGAGCGAGGAGGAGTGGAGATACGGTGTTGAGCGTAGGCGATGGGGGCCAGGGGACCTTTGAGAAGCGTGCACGCAGTGGGAGCAGCGATGGCAGGGTGCAGCAGCACATGCGAGGACGCGTGCCACACCAGTCATGGCCAAGCGAGCAGCAGCGGCAGCAACGGCAGGGGTATCGACGGCGGCTACTGAACCTTCGTTGGTCAGCGCAAGGCACATGGGACGTGACAGCACGAGGCGGTGAGCACGGAGGTACTGATCACACGCACGGAGGTACTGATCACACGCACGGAGGTACTGATCACACGCACGGAGGTACTGATCACACGCACGGAGGTACTGATCACACGCACGGAGGTCCACCACTTGCTGTATCCCACATGTGCCCTCCCCGATGCACACCCCGTGCACTCACTCCCCGTGGGCGGCCGTGATTCCCATGGCAACCTTCACCGCGATCTGCCTCTCCACAATCTCCTCTCGTGTTCTCCCTTCCCGCCATGCATGTCCGCCCCCTTGCGCTGCCTCACACTGCTCGCATCCTCTCACCACCCCAGCATGACCCTCATTTTCCCCATCCTCCACGTCGCTCTTACCACTCTCGTTGTCCGCTAGTCCCGCCCTCACCACGCATGTGCTCTCCCCCCTCCCTCGCCGCCCTGTGTATCCGCCATCCCTCACTGCAGCAGGCGGGGCAACCAGCAGCGCCACCACCACTGACACGGTCACGCCCTTCCCTCTCCGCTCTTCCCCCTCCGCCTCCTCCTCATCGCCCACCAGCAGCTCTGCTGCACCTGCTGTCGCTAAGGCACTCCCCACGCCTGCTCGCGCGCCTGCTACCGCAAGTCCCACTCCCACGCTCCTTGGCGCCACCAGCACAGGGGAGAGCGGTGGCAGCAGTAATGGCGGGTCAGCGGGAACACCTACTGCCGCCGCTGCCGTCACTGCACCTGCAGAATCAGGTCCTGTCGATGCAGCAGCAGCACCGGCGGCAGCAGCTGCGGTGTATGGAGCGGGGGAGCAAGGGGCGGAGGGGGAGTTGGTGGGGAAGCGGCTGGTGATGGTGGTGACGCCCACGTACCCGCGTGCGTACCAGGCGCTCTACCTCTCGCACCTCGCCAACACCCTGCGCGCCGTTGCCCCCCCGCTGCTGTGGATTGTGGTGGAGGGCGCCAACAAGGTGCGTGCATGTGTGGGTGTGTGTTATTGTGTGTGCATCATGTGCGTGTGTTGTGTGCGTGGGGGTGTGCGTGCGTGTGTGCATGCTTGCATGTGTGCTGTGTGTTTGGTGGAATTCTGTGTGTGTGCGTGTGTGTTGTGTGTTTCTGTAGGTATGTGCTTGTAAATGGGTGTGCTGAAGCATGAAAGCAACCCTCGCAGCACCTCCTTCCCACTCTGCCCACCCTCCCATGGCGTGCGGCACAGACGGAGGAGACGGCGCAGGCGCTGAAGCAGACAGCAGCGCAGTGCCTGCCACATGGGGACCCCGCGTGCCGCACCGTCAACTTCCTGCACCTCGCTGCTGGCACGGTGCGTGCCATGCGCATGGGGAAGAGCAGGGGGGGACGCATGGGGGGGAGCATGGGGGGAAGGGGCCATGCCATGTTTGTGGTGAGTGGAGGAGAGTATTAGGGGCTGCGGAAGTCATCGGGGGGGAAGTTGTAGGACATGTGACCAACATGATTGGCCTTGCCACATATCTCTGCCATTCCCATGTTTGTTGTGTGTGGGGGGTGGGGGGAGGAGGGTGTGTGTGCCCACGCATGTGTTTGTGTGTGCAATTGCGATGTGTGCGTGTGCAAGTGCGCGAGCGTGTGTGTGTATGCATCTGTGCGTGTGTGCGAGCCATACTGGTGGGGAGCAGAGGGAGATGGCGAAGTGGAACAAGGCGGTGGCACAGCGCAACGCAGCGCTGCAGCACATAGAGGCGCACCGCATGGATGGGGTCATCTACTTTGCTGATGACGACAACGTCTACGCCCCTCAGGTACCCTGCCCACTGCTGCTGCTACTGCTGCTGCTACTGCTGCTGCTGCCCTCCCTCCCTCCCTCCCCACCTTCTTCCCTCCCTCCCTCCCTCCCCACCTTCTTCCCTCCCTCCCTCCCTCTGTCCTTCGCTCCCTCCCTCCCTCCCTCCCCACCTTCTTCCCTCCCTCCCTCCCTCCCCACCTTCTTCCCTCCCTCCCTCCCTCCGTCCTTCGCTCCCTCCCTCCCTCCCCACCTTCTTCCCTCCCTCCCTCCCTCCGTCCTTCCCTCCCTCCCTACCTCCCCACCTTCATCCCTCCCTCCCTCCCTCCCTCCGTCCTTCCCTCCCTCCCTCCCTCCCTCCCTCCCTCCCTCCCTCCCTCCCTCCCTCCCTCCCTCCCTCCCTCCCTCCCTCCCTCCCTCCCTTTCCTCCCGCAACTCCGCTCCCGTACTTCCCATGTGTGCGACCATCTGTTGCTGTTTCAGCTCAACATCCAATTCGCAGTCCACACAAACCGCATGTACTCATCCCATCCCCTTTCCCCCATCTCTCATTCCCCACCTGCCCTCCCGTGCGCGGCGGCAGCTGTTGGAGGAGGTGAGGGCGATCAGGGTGGTGGGCGTGTTCCCGGTGGGCTTTCTCTTCTCAGCCGACTACGCAGCAGTCAACCCCGGCAAGCCCTCGCGCCCCTTTGTGGAGCGCCCCTTGGTGCAGCGCGCCAGCGACGGAGTGGCGCGCGTGGTGGGGTGGGAGACGTTCGAGTGGTCCATCCCCAAGGGCAAGCGCGGCGGCGCCTACCGCTCCTTCTGCTCCGACATGGCTGGCTTCGCCTTCAGGTGCGCGCTGGGTGGGGGTTGGCATGGCCAGAGGAAGGGTGCGAGAGGACGAGATGGAGAGAGGGCAGGGGCGTGGGTGATGTGGAGAGTGCATTGTGGGGGAATAGAGGGGGGGGACATTGGGGAGAAGGGTAAGTGATGATAGGACATGCCATTCTATAACGAGCAACTGTGTCAAACACGCATTCTGCTCGACTCCCTCTCATAACCTTCTCCACTCCCACTCCCTGCTCTGATATGATCTGCCTCTTGGGCTTGCAGCTCGCGTCTGCTGTGGACGCGCCTCACCTCCATCCCCGGCTACCCGCGCCACCCTGTTCGCTTCCAGGCCATCTGGGGAGGGTCAGTGCTCCTCTCACAATCTCATCCTCCCACGCTCCTCGCACCACACCTGCACGCATTCATAACCACATCTTCCTGCGTGTACGAAGCTCATTCATCATGTTCAGCTTACCATGTTGCCATGCACAACCACTCTCTCCCGCCAACAACTTCCTCTTCCACTGCGTCGTTTTCACGTGCATGCTGTGACCCCGCCAATGAACCCCTTCCCGTGCGCCCCGCAGCTACCTGGAGACGACGTTCCTGTCGCGCCTGCTGCCGTCGCCCGCATACCTGCAGCCCATAGCACGGGACGCCACGGATGTGTGGGTGTGGCACATGCACGCCGAGGCCGAGAAGACCTTCCAGTACCCCGCCAAAGCCTGGACCCTCCCTCAACCCGACCCTCAGCACCTGGTTCGGGTGGCGCAGGAGGGCTCAGAGTGGCCGTACATTGTGGACGGGCAGAGGTACGGGTTTGCGGACAAGAAGGAGCCGTGGCCACGGTTTGGGTACCGTGCGGGGCTCATGCCTCGCAATGGGACAGCTGCACCACCGCCAGTCAAACGCACACCCAAGGATCAATTCTCGTGGAAGGATTGATACGAACGAGGATACCGTATGCCATGTGGGGTAACTTTTGTCAAACTGTGTTTGTATATCTGTAGGATGTTGTGGGGTAGCCTCTACTGAGTACAACACTTTAGGGTTAGATCTAGTACTTGTACTCATCTCATGCTACTAGTCCATCATTCTTGCCTGCTAGTTCTGACATGGTATTCAGAGCAGGTCCCTCCGTAGGCCCGCTCCGTTAGGGCCCACCAACCGTACGAACTGCCCGTTTTTCCTGCCCTGCCCTGCCCAATCGTAACTGCCCTGCCCTCATAGCATCCTAAACGCTGCCCTGCCCTGGCTTGCGCGCTGCCCTAGGCGCTATCTGCGCGTGCAGCTGCCTGCGACCTGCCCGCTTGCTGCCCTGCCCTGCAGCCCGTGCGCCGCCCTGCCCTGCAGCCCATGCACTGCCCTGCCCGCGCAGCCCTGCAGCCCGCGCAGCCCTGCAGCCCGCGCCCCGCCCTGCCCTGCAGCCCGCGCCCCGCCCTGCCCTGCAGCCCGCGCGCTACCCTGCACTGCAGCCCGCGCGCTGCCCTGCCCGCCTGCCCGCACGCCCTGCAGCCCGTGCGCTGCCCTGCTCGCGCAGCACTGCGACCCGCGCGCTGCCCTGCCCTGCAGCCCGCGTTGATTTACCGCCCACGTGCCTGCGCTGCCCGCGCCCTGCGCGCCTTGCTGCACGTGTGCCCTGCTGCTAGCCCGTGCACTGCTGCCCACGCACCCTTCTGGCCTCCACAGCCACTCCAACAGTCGCTACTGCTATTGCAGCCACAGCGACTACCGCTACTGCTACAGCTGCAGCTACAGCAGTCGCTTCTGACGCCCTTGCGCCGCTGCTACTGACTGCCACTGCCTGTCATGGCCACTATCACGGTCGTAGCAGCGTCTGGCGGTAGAGAGCAGCCGCAGCAGCGTCAGCCGGAGACTCTATCGCCGCAGGCGAGGCCGCTCTGGTGCTGAAGCTTGGGAAAAGGAGGTGCTGGAGGTATTGGACAGCAGCGGTTGTCTTGTCGCCAGGAGACTCTCTCCCATAGCAGCTTCGTGAGTGGGCAAGTCAGCGAGGCCGTCCTGGTGGTGGAGGTTATGGTGCTGGAGGTACTGGACAGCAGCGACAGCAGCGTCAGCAGGAAACCCTCTCGCCACAGCAGCTTCGCGAGTGGGTTTCTCTGTGACGCGTCCCTGGTAGTGCAGAGGCTACTAGTCTAGGTGCCAGTGAGCCTGGTAGCATAGGTGTAGTTTCTGTGGAGGCTTTGCACACCTTCACGCTTGACTCCGGCGTGACTCGCTACTTCTTCTGCGACTGCACCACTGTCACATCGCTTACTGCACATGTCCCGGTCTCTCTGGCTGACCAATCTGGGAGCCCAGTCGTAGCACGTGCCTCCACCGTTCTCCCGTGTCCAGCAGCCCCCTCAGGCTCCCTCACAGGTTTCCACCACCCCTCGTTCTCTAAGAACTTGGTGAGTAACGCTCTCCTCCAAGACCACTTTGTCACTGTGACTACTCCTGGGGGTGAGCTTGTGGCGATCTATACGGACTCACTGTGAGAGTACGACTGCTTATGCTGGCTTTGCCAGCTTGCCTGGACTTTGTTATGCTATATCTAGCTTTGGTTTATTTTGTCATGCATAGATATGCTTGATTTCCTAGGTTAGGTGCATTCCTATATTTTATTATAGTTATAGCACCGAACCAGGTTACGTGTACCGAACTCAAGCCTATTCGGTTTCCACCGAATTGCTTTTTGCTGAGTTCGGGAAGGTTCTGTTCGGGGCGCTCGCGACCCTCAGAACATTCGCGTAACACCTGGGTAACTAGCCTTGTCTCGAGACTATATATAGCCTCGTGTTGTACCTAGGTGAAACATTGAATTACAATTCTCTTTCCTGAGCTCGATCCTATATCCTCACACTTGGTAATCAGAGCCCATTTACACGCGACAGTTTTTCGACCACTAAAACCGAGTCTTCAAAAACCGCGGGGGCGACGCAAAAAACCGGTACGTAAAACCGGTTCCGTGTTTTTCGCTCCTCCTCGTTTCGGTTTTTTCGAACGCGCAATGTCAGGCATCGAGGGCCAGAGCGACAACTACGCGACGACGAGCGACATCGCCAGCCTTCGTACCGACATGGAACAGACGCAGGCGGCAATTCGGCGACTCGAAGCCCTCCTGACAAACCAATCCGCAGCCGCCACCGCAGCAGTTAATGCAGCAGTGAACGTAGCAGCGACAGCGGCAGCGACACCGACATTTCACGGAGTGATGGACCACCTTCGCCGAACCTCGAAGCAACTCGCCCGAGGCTCCTTGAAGCGTTCGATCCCAGCGCGAAAGGATCTGACGTTCGACGATTCGTGGCGACCCTCGAAATTTACTTCAAGGCCATTGGCTGTTCGACCCCGACACACGACGCAGCACGAATTCGGCTCGCAGCGACACTATTGCGGGGACTAGCACTCGAGTGGATTTATTACACTGAAGTGGCCCGCGGGGAGAAAATGTGGCAGCAGTTTCGCGCAGACCTCTTCGAACGTTTCGAGCCAATTAATACAACCTACATGGCGCGGCAGCAGATACACCGACACAAGCAATACGGGAGTGTAGCACAGTACACGCAGCAGATGGAGCAACTGTTCAACCGCATCACTGACCTGACCGAGGGCGAAAAAATTTAGGCGTACACAGAAGGGTTAAAATTGGAGATTCGCCGACAGGTCATCGCAGCGAACTACAATAATTACCGCGACATCGTGCGTGCTGCCGAACGATATGACGCTTTGACTCGTGGTCAACCCGAAACACGACGTTACGGGCCGAATCGTACATTCGGCACGGAGCGATCGGCACCCCCCACGTTCGCCGAACCGATGGATATCGACAAATTTGACGCGAAGCAGCAACCGACAAAATGCGATTTTTGCGGCGCAGCGGGGCATCAAATTTTGTCGTGCTACAAATTGAAGAAGGCACTTGCGGCACTGCTAGGCGGCAACAGTGGAGCACCTTCGAAGTCAAAAAATGGGAATCGCCAGTAGCCGCGGATCGACCTGGCGATCGCGTAAAGATCCGAAAAGCAGAAAAGGGCGACGACGTGGCGACTTCGTAGCGGGTGAAAAAAGGAGAAAATGATGGTGCGAATATAAAACGACACGACCGGCCGGCTTCAGGGGAAATCGCCGAGGCGAATGGAGGCTCCGCGAGAAAAGACCCTGCACCGACCGGGAAACTCCAGCCGAACACCCACGAAAGTAAGAATTCGTTAAAAGTATCCTATAAAGATACTCTAACGAAAAATATTGCTTCTCGTGGTTTCCAAGCCTTTGAAAAATTCAGGGGAGATTTAGAGGCCAAGAAAAAGCCTTTAGAGATTATTCAGGTACCTGAGAAGTTGGGCAAAGTACTACGGAGCGTAGAAAAGGGTCGTGCGTTCCGTGGAGTTAATATTCTCTCCTCGCAGCCCAGTGTTAAGGCTCCCCGTTGCCCACAGGTGAAGCCTACACAGCTGCAAAGGCTTAGAGGAAAATTTCAGGCTCATGAGAAGTTGTACAAGCCTCGGAAAAATCCTCTCACCCCCCAGGTGAAGTTGGAAAGTGCTGAGTCAGGTATAGGAAATAGGGATGGTAATCATTTTGATGTACCCTATGATCCTATCCATGAGATCCTCTTTGGCTACTCAACGCAGCAGGCACCACTACTCCTCGAGGTGCTATGCAAAGGACAACGCCTCGAGGCACTGGTGGACAGCGGTGCATCTCACTCAGTGTCACGTTGGAGAAAATTGGGGAACCTTCCGAGGAGACCAAGTTCACGGCAACGATGGTGTACGGTACGAAACTTCCCATCCACGGCGAAGTATCACTGCAGGTGCACATAGGGGCACTGAGGTGGAAGCCGACGTTGCCGATCACGAACATCAAAGGTTCAGATTTCATCTTGGGGCGAGATTTCTTGAAGCGTTTCAACCCCGAGATCGATTGGATCAACAGGAAGGTGTGCATCTACAATAACGGGAAGCGGATAGAGCTACGAAGCTGGACGGACATAGGGGACGTTCCTGAAACGACATTGGCACGATTTGAACAGACGGTGAACGAGAGTAACATGGGATACCTAGCACTGGTTATGACAGCAGCAGAGGAGGGGAAGCCGAACACGGAGCTACCTGCAGCAGTAAAGGAGGTCTTGGAGCAGTACAAGGATATAATGCCCGACGACCTACCTCCAGGCATACCTCCAGCACGCACCCACGAGCACGAGATCATGGAGGAACCAGGTGCGAAACCCGTCTCACGTGCACCATACCGACTGAGTCCGACCGAACGGACAGACATGAAGAAACAGATAGAGTATCTACTGGACAGACAACTGATCCGCCCATCTACCTCTCCCTATGGTGCACTAGTCTCTTCACTTTAAAACCAGATGGCAGTTTACGGATATGCATCGACTACCGCGCACTGAACAAACAGACAGTTAAAAACAAACACCCCATACCGCGCATAGACGACCTACTGGACCAACTGCGCGGTGCAATAGTCTTTTCAAAGCTGGACCTACGGTCGGGTTACTAGCAGATCAAGATGGCGGACAACTCGATCCATAAGACGGCATTCCGTACCAGATACGGCTCCTACGAATACTTGGTGATGCCGTTCGGACTCTGCAACGCACCAGCAACGTTTCAGGCGGAGATGAATCATATCCTTCGACCCCTGCTGGACGAATGCGTGGTGGTGTACCTGGACGACAGAAACATGAAGGAGCACGTGGAGCATCTACAGAAGGTGTTCGAGATCCTGCGGAAGAACAAATTCTACGTGAGCATCTACGTGAAGCTGTCGAAGAGCGACTTCGCCCTGAAGAAAGTGCAGTTTCTCGGGCACATAGTGAGTGCCAAGGGCGTACACGTGGACCCGCGGAAGATTGAAGCCGTAAAAAAATGGAAGGTACCGGAGAACGTGAAGGAGTTGCAGCAGTTCCTAGGCTTTGCCAA